CGAACGAACGCAAAACCCTACTCCTGCGTGATGTCCATGGCTTGTCCTGGGCGGCCATCCAGGAGCAGGTCGTGAACCTACGTGGAGAAACCCCGAGTGTACGCTCGCCCTCTCATGATCTACCATCGGTGGGTCTGGGTAGTGGGTGGAACACACATAGTGCAACTGAAACTGCTACAAGCTAGAAGTTCCCGCTGCGGTGTTGTGCTCTACGAAGTGTGATGTCGTGTCTTCTACTGTGTTTTCATTAAGGTCATTAAGGTCCCTATGCATCAGGAGGCCCCTAGATTAGACTGACAGTTCATATTATCTTGCTTCGGAGCTTCAGGTTTAGGACCTGGGTTTGAGCGATGTAGGCGGCCTGAAGAAGTAGAGCAGGTCTGTATTAGCATAGTTGACGCTGTTGCTCATTATTCAAGCTTCTACATTGAGTTGCTGCTTAAGTGTTATACGCTCCTATTCCTTTTTGTAGCTTTTGTAAAGAGTACCCCGAAACGCGGTTCTAAGCGGGATCCTGTACTGAGCGTTTTGGCTTGTTCATGATCCCAGCACTTTGAGGTTTTCTGGCTGTATACTCTCACGTGAAATCGTGGTACCCGACACCGTTAATCAAACATTATTGGACAAGGCCTTACAATGTCAGGAAATAGAACCTTGTATTAATGGTAAACGGCTTCATGATGTTCAGTATTATCTTCATACTGAACCGTAAGTATGTGTTACATATGCAATCAGTTTACTACTTGAATGATAGATAGATGTTTGGGGGGGCGCAATGTATATTAGTGGATAGCTTGCTTAGTTTGCTTAGTACTTAAATGACACCTGGCTAGAATGTTGACAGCATGCCTCTGGATATTCGTTTGGTATTCAAGCAGCATTCACTATAGGCTATAGGGTTACATATGTGGATGCTATGTAGTGAGCACCATTTAGTGGGCATTTTATCACCAGATGTAGCGAGACCTAACCCGATATTAGACCAGTATGTACCTACAAAGCAATATTCATTTCATTATTATTTACTGCTAGTATTGTAAATAATAAATTCGAATGTCATACAATATCCCTTGAAATAACAGTCTGGTATTTATTCATTCTTCAACACTTAATGACCATTTTTCATAGACACTACTAACTATTGATATCGCTTGGCATTTGATATTCATGAGTTATTCGATCCGTGTTCCATGAGTGTATACCTAAAGCATTTTGATATAAGGGCATATTTAGAAGATAGCTTATCACAAGTAAAGTTCCTGTTGGTGTTTCATGTATATTCCACTGTGCTCGCTTGTATGATATTTAGATCATGTAAATGTAGTTGGCATGCTGTGGCAATAAACGAGCACTGTAATCGCATTCTGTTGTTATTTTGTTGTGAGTGGCATGTAAGTCAGTATCTGGCAAATTGTTTTGGAAACTAGCTACTATGACTTCTGATTACATTTGCGATATTGTTACTTGAGCAAAAGTATAAAGATTAATTATAAGCTCATGATCTTTTTCAACAAATATTCTTCCAATACGTAGCTGGTTTTTACAAAAACGATGAATAAGAAGTAACTCTACAGCAAATAATGTTTGCATGCTAGATAGCGGCTTGTCATCGGATGGAAAGTGAGTATGTTATCATATTCAGAAATATACCCTGCACTGTCGTCCCCATTTCCTATAATTAATGTCTAGCTTGACTGTATGCTCTGTCGATCTTTGCACGAGACCGGAAACCCTCACGCAGGTCCCTTGAGCGCAAGGGGATGCTCCTGAAACTGCATGTGCTGTAGAGTGTACTCGGAGTCGAGACAGCTGGCTATTAAAGTTTGGTTGGTCGTACGGAACTAGTCGGTTGGTGAAAACAAACTCCACATGCAAATCGACGGCATTTTAACACAAAGTGTAAACGCATACCGTCGCATCACAGACATCTATCCAAACTTGACGGCTTTGTCACAATAGGAGGGGGTTCAGTTTGTCTGCTACAGGGTCTTCTTCATGTGTTAAAAATCAACTGCGAATCAGGTGTCATATCACAACCTCCCAGCTGAAGTTCGCGTCCTTGGTGTGAGCCTGTGAGGAGCGCCCACGTTTCATAAACGAAATTTATGTTCAAAGCCTCAGGATTGAAACAGGGATTTGCACAAACAGTGCGAATACCAGCAGACACCGGCAAATCCAAGATTCCCAAGATGTTGACAGAATCTCTGGATTTTTTTTTCTGATTTGTTTGATTAGCATTGCTTTTTGTAATTTTTAGTAGATCCAACAAAACCCTAGGAAATATGGAATTTGGTGGTGTCGCCGGTCAAAATCATTATATTTACTCGGGTTTCTGGATTTTGTAACGAAGTCCAAATTTTCACCAGCAAAAGATTGAATTTTGTTGGTGTCGCTGGTCGAAGTCATTGTATTCCCTAGCGACCAAAATCCAAACATGTCCTAGGTTTTTTTGGGTTCTACCCAAAAAATGTTTAAAAAAAACAACGGCCATCCAAAAAAACCAAAAAAACATTGAGTCCAAAAATTCTGCCAAAAATCGTTGGATTTCTGTTTTTGTTTTCAACTTCTTCGGCAAAAATTGAAACGAAACGCAATGCGGCCTAATATCGTCAGGCTCAGTCTTGTTGATACACTTTTCGTTTATGGCGGCGCTGCTTCGTTTGATGTCTGCCTGGCTATGCTCCGAACCCCCCATTGTGTGACACAGTTTTCCGTGGATGTTTGAGTTTCTGACAACAGCACAGATCGCAGGTATTTACGGGGTTGTCTATGTGTTTTGCATATCGAAGAAAGGCGGAGGGGGGTTGTGACCTTGATTTTATTCTTATCATTTTTATAACTATTGTCAATATTGCTGTTAGTAGTAGTATCATGACCATTACGACCATTACTAGAGGAGTACTAAATACTACCTGCATTACCTTAAGGACCCTCAGCTATGGGAATTATGGTACATTCCTGATTATGGGCAGTGCAGGGTTTATATCATCAACCGTATTACTACTATGTCCAAGCAGCCCAGGAAGAGGCCGGCGATATGACATCGAGGTCTGCGCCTTCCACCAGCCGAGGCCCTCAGAAGGCGCCTTTCCGAGACTCGTTTTAGGGTTTTTAGGGTTTTTAGGGTTTTTAGGGTTTTTAGGGTGTTTAGGGTGTTTAGGGTTTAGGGTTTTTAGGGTTTTTTAGTTTTTTAGTTTTTTGGGTTTAGGGTGTAATGTTTCGGGTTATAGAAGCCTAAAGGGGCTTTAGGGCTTTTTGGTGTTCCTTTAAGGCTTCTTTGGGGTTCTTTAAGGGTAGGGTTTAGGGGCATTGGCGGCTTTGGGGGTTTAGGGGTTTAGGGTTTGTGGCTTAGAAATAATACCACTCCTGACGGTTCTTAGTGGTGGTTTAGTAGAATGTAAGGCTGTAGGGCTTTAGCAAACAAAGGTTAAGGATTTTGTGAAAGTTCGTGGTTTAGGGTTTTGGGGTTCAGAGGGTTTGGAAATTAAGGCTAGTCTTCGATGGTGTGGTGTGTTAGGCTTGTCCATGGTTTCGTTGGCCTTCGTCATGCTTCATCGGGTTATGGAAGGAGATTCATACGGGGCTTCAGGGGCTTATGGGGTCTTGTAAGGCAATTCAAAGGGTCTCCAGTGTTTCGGGTTTTCGGCTTGTGGGTTTAGGGGTTTAGGTTTAAGTTTAGGGTTTAGGGGTTTAGATTTAGGGTTTAGGGGTTTAGCTTCAGGGGTTTAGGGGTTTCGGGTTTAGGGGTTTAGGGTTTAGGGGTTTAGGCGTTCGAAGTTTGGAGTCGTTATTAGGGAGCAGCTGAGCGGGAGTGGCACGAGCGGCGCTTGTTAGCAGATTGACTTCACGATGACTATGGTTCTGCTACCCCGAGCGAGCACACAAAGATCAGGATCCGTCTGTGGTATATAACAAACCCTAAACCCTAAAGGGGCCAGTGCACTTTAAAAAAACCTAAACAGTTAATATAGGTACACCTGCATTAAGAAGAGGTTGTTTTCAGGCTTATGATGGATTCGGAACCCTATGTTCGGTCCACTCCCTGCACCACACCCGGAGCCCCAAAGATGGACACAGAAGTGGACAATTTCAACGAAGCTTCTCGCAACCGACGGCTGTCGCAGGATGTACTGCAGGACTTCGCGGATGGAACCAACCAGAAGTACGTCTTGAAGGCCCTTAGGGAGTTGTAGTCGTGCTTCGGGGTGTAGGATTACATACAACCTTGAGCCCTAAACCCTGGAAGCCGAGCACTCTGCAAGATCCTGAACCCTGAAAGGCCGAATCATTTAGCCCGTAGATTGAGAAAAAATACCTCTTGAACTCTAGGATTGCAGTGAAAGAGGCCGGCATCGTCATTTCAGCACCGAGTGGCCACTTGCAATTGGTAAGCACATATTGCCACTTCGGAGCTTGACTATACGTTCAAGCGGTCCGGCATTGGGTTCATAATATATAGCCGACGATACCTCAAATCCCTGCCCCAGTTGTTTACGCCTCTTCTAGCTGTACCTTGCCAGAATCCGAGATGCTGTCTTGCATATCCGAAAAGCAGAAATATATGCAAGCAGGAGCCCCCTCGGCCCTAAGCCCTAAACGGTGCAAGCTTGGAGGTGCAGGGCTAGTTGTAGGTGGGGTTGTAAGTTCCCTACTATGGGTTATAATTTTAGGTACCGGTTGCCCTACTTATAGCTCCGCTTATTATAGCTACCCATGAACCTCTGAGTAAGGCCCTACGATTTCCGCCCCGAGTCCCTCCTGGCTTGAAACCGGGGGCTTAGAAACAAAAGGGCGGTCATAACATCATACGTCGTATACAACACATCATATTATAGTATTAAAGCATATAATAAATAATTATATAGCACATACAATATAATATCAACCGTGACAAAGCCTTCGCCCGGGGAACAACGGAACCTGATGCCAAATGGCTTTGGCAACAGTCATTGTGGCTCGAGCGACTTTGAGAAGCTCCACTCGGAATCCTCGCGTTCAGCATGGCTTCACCCTGGCTCTTGGTGCCGCTTCTGCTCGCACACGCCCTTGCGACTCGGGATGTGACGTGCTTGTCTTCCATCAAGGTCATTGACGACTTCCTTTCCGATGCTGAAGCACAGGCTGTGATCACAGACCTCGAGGCCCAGAGTGGGTCGGAGCGCGTGCTCCAGGAAGCACCAGTGCTCGCACAGCGCCTCAAGTCGGAGCTGAGGTCGCAAGAGCAGGAGGCACAGCTCTCCAGCGCTGTGGAAGTGCTGGAGCCTGTGGGGAGAAGCCCAAAGCTCATTCACGAAGTGTCAGGCCACGCAGCTCTAGAGAAGCGTCTTCGGGAAACCATGACTGGCAAGGAGGCAGCGCAGCTGGAGGCGTCCAAGTCTTCAGTGCCAGTCTCCCGCAAGAGCGGCGATGTGCAAGAGCATGCGGATCATGTGACCCACTGGGTGAATGGCAAGGTTCCGGGAACAGCCGCAGTCGCCTACCTCGAGTCTGCCCCTGATGGTGGCAGCCTGGGCAAGCTCATCTTCAAGGACGTCGCTTACGAGCAGAAGGTTGTCAAGGAGGTGGATGCGATCGCCAAGCGCTTCATTTCCTGGGACAACAGCAAGTGTTTGCACAGCTTCAAAGCGCGCTACCAGGGCACACGACGTCTGCTCGGTCCTCTTGCATTGACTTCGTATGGAGACATGGTGAAGGTGGGGATCATCACTCAGCCGACCACCACGACCACGGAAGCACCAGAAGCAACGACCACAGAAGAGCCGGAAGCACCGAAGAGTTACTACGGCAGTTGGAAGAAGAAGTGGTGGTCCTGGAAGAAGGGCTACTCAGGCTACCCACAGCCCAGCGCTAACCTCATTCAGGACGGCTCGTCAGACACCGTGCACTTCATGCAGATCGACAAGAACGGCAGCCACAAGGAGCTGTGAGCCGCCACAGGCATTTCAAGCCCTCCCCCTACCAGTATCAACCAGGGGTCTTGCGAACCAGTCATTCCTAATCCGTCAGGCTTGCAACTCACTTCCTATGTACCGTTGGGAAGGGCTCCAACGATGTAGCCCAAAAGCGGCTCGCAAATGTTGGAATGGAGTGTTCCGACACGGCAAGTCTGCGATTCAGGCCAGGGCGCCTTGAGATCATTGCATCAAAATCTTACCCCGACACACGCTACTCGAAATATTGAGTCCGCTATACTACACCATTGTAGAACTGACAATGCTTATAAGAATCCTTTTTGTAACGAATCACCAAAATCCGTTCGAACGGTCGGTGACTCACCCGTGTGGGCCTTTTACTCTGACACCTATTTCTTCTCCGGGGTTCATGGCTTAAGGCTTTGACCCTAAGTTTAGGGCAGGCTTCGGGCTTGGAGTTTAGGGCTTTCAGGGTTTGGAGTTGAGTTACCCTGAACCCTACAACCATAAATCCTAGAACCCCAAGCCCCAAACTCGCAACTCTAAAGAAGCAGGGAGTTGAAGTCAAACGCCACGAGGGCCCAAACCTCTGAGGGCCGAATTAAGGGTGTGGGGTTCTAGGGTTTAGGGTTTTAGGGTTTAGGGCTTTAGGGTTTAGTCTTGGAACACTGGTATCCCCCAACCCACCTGCAGAAACCCAAAAGTTTGAAACACTAAAGCTCCGGCGACTACGGACCACCGACACCACAGGCTGCTGCAGGGATTGATTTTGAATGTAGCGTCCTGGCTCACGCACTGTGGGGTTTATGGTTTAGGAACCGCTGCAAGCCTCTCCGATTCCACACCATCCCCTAAACCCTAAACCCTAAACCAGCCAGGAAGGAATGAAGCTCAGTGACAACTACTACTTGGTCGACATGTCAACAGATGGTTGCTTGGTTACAGATGGCACTTGTACCACATGGACTGTATTTCAGTATGTTTAAACCGTTTCGTGTTGCATTACTAGTTCCGTAACATATGTTACGTTATTTTACTTGTATGCTTTGACGTGTGCGTGCATACACGGTATGCACATACATGCATAAAGACATAAAACATACATACATACATACATACATACATACATACATACATACAGTGCCGTTCTCAACCCCGGCCTCTTGTGAGAAGAGTAGTGTAGGCACTAGGGTTTTGCAGCGTAGTCAAAGATAGTTAAAAATCCGTGCGTGCGCAAGCTCGCACAAGGGCGGGCGCAAGATTCCGAACATAGTAACAAATGTACAGGTGGTTTGTATTCATGTGTATGGCTTTGTCATGGGGTTTACCAGGTAAATAATTAAGGTTTGGTCTAGCCCTCAACTGTCGAGCACTTACTAAGTCGAAATGCATGTCAATTTGCATCCATCCATGCATGCATGGATAGATGGATGGATGGATGTACATCTGTCTATCTATGTATGTATGTATGTATGTATGTATGTATGTAGGTGTAGATGTACATGTTTATGTATTTGTGTATATATGTATAGTGGCTGTAGGGAAGAGGTGAACTGGTTCAACAAGACACACTCACTTCCGCCGCAGTAGCAGTAGCAGCAGGAGTAACGGTAGCAGCAGCAGCATCAGCAGCCGGAGTACTGTGGTCGCAGTCGTAGTCGGTTCGTAGTCGAGGTCGCAGCAGCAGGGGCGGAAGGGGCAAGGGGAAGGGGCAGGGGGTCAGGGACTGGGGCAGGGGCACGGGGAGGGGCAGGGGGGACGGCTCCTCCGGGAGCAGGAGCAGCAGCAGTAGCACTAGTAGCAGCAGTAGCAGTAGGAGCAGTAGTAGCGGTGGCAGTGGCAGTGGCAGTGGCAGTGGCAGTGGCAGTAGCCGTCGTCGTCGTAGCAGTGGCGGAGCAGCAGCACTAATTTGACCCTTTGTTGCACAGCACTTTACGAGTGACGAAGACATTTTAAACATCACATTGATCTCAACGGTTAAGACTTTCAGACGATCACCAGTAACAGCTGCAGCACTTTCTTCATACATCACCATGACAATATTGCATTGTCGTCCTCCTAGTCATCATCATGTTCATCTTCATCCTCGTTCCCAGCATCATGATGATGATTTTGGTCATCATCGTCTCTATCGCCTGACCATCATCCCTGTCGTCGGCAGCAGTGCGAGGTTCAGACCTGCCTGCCTGCTACTTGAGGCCGAAATCTCTTCGTTTCGGCGTATGTGCAAGCCTCAGATGCTTAAGCCAGGATGCCGGGTGTAGCAAGTGGGGTTTTGGGTTTAGGGTGACGATCAGCGTGCTTGCTTAGAGGCCTTAACTGTGCGACGCTGATCTGCAGGACAACACAACCTCGAACACTCTGGAGCTTGTGATCAAGGCCGCTGGGCATGGAAGCAGTTTTCTTCAAAAGACCGGGGGCAAACTCATAGTTCTCGGCTTCAGGGAGGTTCTTGGGAGAACCCGTTAGCCCTAAACCCGAAATGTTATGGCTATCCGGCGTTCAAGAGGAGTAGCATTGCAATTCTCGAGGCACCTTGTTGACTGCGGCATTTTTCATACCAGCCCCTGAAGCCCATGGATCTAGAAGCTTGAATACTTAGGAATACTGTTCAACTGTTCCTTCGGGTTATGATGCCTCAGACGTATTTTCCCATGCGTCCATTCCCTTGTCTAATGATAAAGGCCCTGTGTGTCCTAGAGTTTCTTGGTTCCTGAGTAGCCTCTTAATAATAAGGGTACCCTTTTTCCTACTATTCGGTTTTAGTAAGGGGGCCCTAAAATAAAAAGGGCAAAAGGGTACCACTCAGGGACCTAGGTTTAGATTCAGGGTTTAAGGTGCAGGGAAGCTCACATCCCTGCAGTACTCAGACAATAGGAAAAAACCCTAAGCCAAATCCCAACTGCCAGGTTCAGAAGGCAGGATTTGGTTTGAGTCTACACCCGTATCCTTTATCTGTATTCTCCGGGCCTAAATGAACAGGATTTATTCATGTATGGTTCCTATAGCATACTACAACCTACCTAAGAGATTCCTCACGGATCCTTGGTAATCATACTATATGCTGTTACCCCAAAACATATTCTAATGATGAGGGTCCCTACATCAGGGAGGTCGAAGCACCACCAATGCACCGGAAATCTTCTGAAAGTTGCTCCGTAGCTCAAGACATGCTTTGCTGGGATCTAGGGCCCTACACCCTAAACCGTAGGGCCTTCGGCTTCATTGATATAGGCCCTAGAGCCCCCCGAGCCCCCCTTGAGCCCCTAAGCCCTAAACCCTAAATCCTAGACATTGGTTTAGGGTTTAGGGTTTAGGGCCAAAACCCTCAAGCCTTAAAGCCCAAACCCCTGCAGGCCTCAAAGGCTAAAGCCCTCCTGAACGGAACAAAGTCTACTAAAGGCGATTCTTCTACATACTTTTGGGGTCCAGGCTCAACCCTAAATCCTATAAATCCTAGACCCCTAAACCCGTAAACCCTAAACCGTAGGGTTTAGGGTTAAAAAAGCCCCAGACCCTAAACCCTAGTACAGCTTCAGCCAGCTCTGAAATTTGGGAGTGCGCTTCACCATGAATCCCAACTGCGCTAAGCCCTACCAAAGGCCGCGATAAAGGCCCTTTAAAGGGTGCCCCTTGGGCTGAGGGACTAGGGTTTAATAGGATTTGGGGAGTAGGGACTAAGGTTTAGGGTTTGGGGATTTTGCTGTAATGAAGCCTCTTAAAGGAAGCCTGTTGCAAGTTTGGAGGCGTCTCCTATACCTTATAAACCCTAAACCCTAAACCGTAGCCCTGTCACAGGAGAGGCTCCACCGACAGCTGTACAGAGAGACGAATGGAGACTATCGCCAGATAGCCGCGTCCTGAGCCTCGAGCTGTAGGGTCTTTGAGCAGGGTTTAGGGTTAGGCTTTAGGATTTGGGGTTTGGGGTTTGGTGTTAGGATTTGGGGTTTAGGGTTGAGGGCATATCGAAGTCTGCAGTACTGTAACTCAGGCGGTTTAAGGGCCTCTATGGCTTCCTACCGTGTTCCTTGGCAACCTCCCGAGACCTACCGTTGTCATCTATCTATCTATCCATCCATCTATCTATCTATAAAGATATAAAGATATACATAAGTAAATTAGTAGAAGGATTATTGGGAGACCTAAACATGTATTTGAGGCACGGTGTCCCGTCACCACTGCAGGCAGACCGTCTGAAGGTCTCTGGGGATGGAAAACTCCTGCTTGCCCGGGGCCCCGGCTTCCCCTTGCACGGGTTCAACTTGCGGTTCGCCGCGGTTTTGGGTTTAGGGATTGTGGTGTTTTACGGCGTTCGGGCTTTAGGTGCCAGGCTTTAGGGCTTTTGGTTGAGGCTCACATTGGGATACCAATGTTGAGACTATAGTGATCCAGAAGTAGCGTGTATAGGATCCCCAAGAATCAAGAGTACCAGTCTTGTAGAACTGAAGTTATGACTGCAACCTCACTGCAGTTGCATGGTTCCTTGGCTTGTAGACTTCAGAAAAGGATCCACGCAGAGACCCGAGTCTTAGAGTTTAATGTAAGGGCCTACAAAATTATCAAGACTCGTTTCTTTGGGGGGGGGGGGGGTACAGTATATAAGATACTTTAAAACCCTATTCTGATTATTAAGGCCCCTATATTAGTCTATAAGATGGCTTTCAACTCATGCTGAACTTTCAGGATCTTGAAATTGAGTGTTTCTTCGAGGTACGGGTACCTTCTTCGGGGGGTCCTTGTAGTACAGATCCTACCATTTCGGCTTCAGGGTGTGGTACGGCCCCCGTGCCCCGATTTGCCGAAATTCCTGTTGTGGGAGGGTTTAGGGTTTAGGGTTTCGGGGTTTTAGGGTTTAGGGGTTCAGAGTTTTAGGGTTTAGGGTGAGGCTTTCCGGAATTCAGCTTGTCGGGCTTTGTTGTTTTGGAAGCTTTAACATGTAGAGCTGACAGGTTTGGGGGCTCTCAAGTCATTTTTGCGTTTCTCACCGGAGCCCGAAACCTAAAACTCTGTGTTGG